GCTGATCCTACTGTGTACAGAAGGTTAATTGGTAGATTAATCTACTTGACCAACACTAGGCCTGACATCTCTTATGCTGTCTAGCATTTGAGTCAATTTGTTTCAAAGCCTTGTACATCTCACTACCAGGCTGCTCTTAAGATACTGAAGTTTTTGAAATCTTTCCCTGCTACATGTATCTTGTTCTCAGCTTCAAGCTCTCTAACATTGTGTGCCTTTGCAGATTCTGATTGGGCAAGATGTCCCACTTCTAGAAAATCTGTTACTGGTTTCTGTGTGCTCTTAGGATCCTCACTCATATGTTGGAAATCAAAGAAGCAAAATATTGTTTCTAGATCCTCTACTGAAGCTGAATATAGGGCTCTTGCTTCCATAACTTGTGAGTTGCAATGGCTTCAGTTCTTGTTACAGGACCTCATGATATTTCTACATCAACCAGCTTCTGTTTATTGTGATAGCAAGTCTGCCATATACCTTGCACACAATCCAGCATTCCATGAAAGAAGCAAGCACATAGAATTGGATTGTCATGTGGTTCGTGAGAAAATCAACTCCAAACTGATTCACCTTCTTCCTATCTCTACAAAAGACCAGCTAGCTGATGCTTTTACTAAACCTTTACATTATCCTCTCTTCTCCTCCATCATGTTCAAGTTGGGACTTTGTAGTCTCCACAGTCCAACTTGAGGGGGCGTATTAGCATACTATTTTGTATATAGCCTATTTTATTGCTGTATAAATAAGAGTTAGCTTAGATAGAGTTTTATCTCACTACTCTGTAACTGTTTTGATTAATTGAATAACAAAATTCTTTGCTCTTTCTTTCATCTTATTCAATGAGCATTTCTTGGATGTTCATGGCTTCTTCACCTTGCTGGTGTGTTCTCATGGCCATTATTGACAATTATACTATAGCTTTTGGCAGCACAATGTAAGAAAAAAAACTAGGTAAAACCATGTCATCTTTATTTGAATGGAATGGAAAAATGGATTCCTGAAATGTGACATCCCTAGTGGCAAGGATATTTTTAGTATCTAAGTTGAGAAGTTCATATCCTTTTACACCTTGGGGATATCCTAGTAAAACATAAGGTGAGGCACGGGGGTAAACTTAGATCACATGCAGGAATTGTAGAAGCAAAGCATAGGCAACCAAAAACTCTTAGTGATGCATAGTCAGATATCTTACCTTGCAACAATTCAAAAGGAGATTTGTTGTCCAAGCCTGAAGAAGGATATTTATCAAGTAGGCATTTGTGTTGACACAAACACCCAAAAATGTCAGTGGTACTTTAGATTGAAACGATAATGCCCTTGCAACATTTAGGAGATGCTGGTGTTTCATTTCAATAACTGAATTCTTTTGAGGTCTGTGAGGGCATGAGAACTGATGTATTTCCCCTTCAACTTGCAAAAACTCAGTCAACTGAAGTTCTTTTGCATTATCACTGCAGATTCCCTTAATGGAGGTGTTAAAGTGAGTTTTTATAAATTTAAAAAACAGTTTAATAAGCATGGTTGCTTTAGACTTATGTTTCATTAAGTGAATCCAAGTATATCTTGTGTTCTCATCAACAATAGTAAAAAATAGTGATAACCATCATAAGTAGGTTTTGCAAAAGGATCCCACACATCCCAATGAATCAAATCAAAGGGTGAATCACTATGATTATTATGTGAAATGGAGGGTAAACGATGAAATTTAGCAAGAGGGGAAGGTTTGCAAAAATCATGATTTGCTACATTGAAAGGAAACAAAGTTGGATTTTTATGATGAATAGATTATAAAACTAGGTCAGAGAGATTTCGTAATCTAGCATGCCAAGTAGAAAAAGAAATGTTGCCAACATAATTACATGTTGGCATATTTGAAGAACTTTTATTGAAACATACATCAAGGGCGGCATATGTATGTTCAAGTGCACTTTTGAGGAAGTAAAGGCCATGAGTGTAGTCACTTGTACCAATCACCTTACCCTCTTGGATGTCCTTAATTATGAATTCAGATTTAGAAAAGACAACAGATAAAGTGGAATTTTATAGTAACTGGCCAATAGACAATAGATTGATTCGAAAGTGAGGAATGCACAACAAATTGTGCAGTGTTAAGTGAGGGGTTAACAAAATGATGCCTATGGAAGAAACAAGTACTTTGGTATTGTTAGGTAAGGTCACAAATTTGTTTAACATAAATTTATATAAAATAAACATTTATAAAGAATGCACAATAAGTGATGTGACTCCTGAGTTAACTATCCAAGTGTTATTAACAGGATATTCATTATGATGTGATGAAGTAAAGATCATACCAACTGCATCACCTGATAATGAAGCAAAGCCAATGTTTGATTGCCTAGCCATCTGGATTTAAATTTAGGCTATGAGCTTCTGGTACTGCTTTGTATTCAGTGGAATGTCTTCCTCCATGGTGTTTGTGTTGTCAGCATTTGCAGTAGGTTGTGAAGAATTGAACGATTTTCCCTTTTTGAATCCAGGTGGATAACCATGAAGCTTGAAACACTTATTTTTGATGTGTCAAATGACACTACAATAAGAGCATAGAGGCCTATCCTTCTTTCCATTCTTGGACTTGGAACCATTATAATCATTAATAGCATAAGCTAGGGTTTCAATGTTCTCACTAGTAACGACATTGACAACATGTTGCTTCCCTTCTTGAATTACCAGCGAGAAAACGCGACTAACAGAAGGCAAGGGATCCATGAGAAGGATCTCGCTGCGAATAGGATTAAAGCTCTCGTTTAAACCAAGTAAGAAAGTGAGTACATATTCACGGTTGATGGTTTCAATCAGAGGATTGACACCATCGTAAACACGATGATGAATAGGGAGGAATTCAACTAGTTCCTCCCAAATACCTTTATTCTTGGAGTAGTAAACACCAACTGAAAGATTACCTTGAGTGCAGGTGATGAAATCTTTGCGCAGTTGAAGCAAGCGTGGACTGTTGTTCTGTAGAAAACGTTCCTGAAGATTGTTCCAAATCACCACCTCAGTGGAGGTGTAGATGATGCTGGCAGTGATTTCTTTTGAAATTCAGTTCAAAAGCCATGATGCAACGACATTATCATTGCGTTTCCAGAGTTGAAATTGAGTATCATCATCAGAAGGTTGCGGAATCGATCTATCGACAAATCTAATTTTGTTCTTCGCCCGGAGAACAATGAGCATTGCACAACACCACGATGAATATTTCTCTTCTATCAAGAGATATGAAACAAAAATACTTGGATGATCTGAATGATGGATGCACAAGAGATTCTATTGTTGATCTTCCATGACAATGAGGAGAACAACGAGAAGCTTGAAACATGATTCAGAAGCAGAAACAGAAATCAAACCTTGCGAAAGCAAGATCTAAACAAAAATTCTATTGATACCATATCGGACATGCTAAGCTCTCATGAACTGTGAACTGAATACGATGCAAAAGAATGCAGAAAGAAGAGAAAATGATGAAGATTTAATTTTCATAGTTGCAATTCAGTTACATCATTGTTTTCAGTTAGTTACCCAATGAACTAACACAGTTCCTTTTATAACTAATAGGAATACAAGAAGCTAAATTTTGGTCCTCCAAGTCTCTAAGAGTTACTCCCTATCCTATACCTTCAAAAGGCCTCAAAGACTTGTCCCATTAAATTGAAATAGCTATGTCCTATCTCAAGAGATGATTTTAAATAGAACGAAATACACTAAATCTAAGTTTGAATCTGACCCAAAGTATCAAATTTTACACAAACAATTCACTTGTAAAAATCTAGTGATTTAATACGATATATTTTAGAAATATGTAAAAAAGAAACTTTAAAAAAAATTATGTATAAAAGCTACAGTAAACCAAAACAACCCTCTCTTTACGTGTATAAAATTTAAAAGATAATTTCTTTTCACACTTAGTGCACTTCTTTAAGATTTCTGACGAAATTTTCAAAATATTCCCAAAATTTGGAAGTGCATCTCCGAACGAATCAAATTTCAGTTTTTTAAAGGTGTTTTCGGATATCATTATCCGAAATAACCCAATATTTCCTTTTCAGAGGATTTTCGGATTTGCATATCCGAAATAACCTAATTTCAGGTTTTTTAAAGGTGTTTTCAGATAGCATATCCGAAATAACCCAATATTTCGTCTTTGAGAGTTTTCGGATATACATATCCAAAGTATTCCAACAATTAGAATCAAGGTGTATCAATTCCATAATTAGAATCAAGGTGTATCAATTATATTAATTATATTACCTTATCAATTATTTATATAAGTTTCACAAAATGGAAAAATATTATTTATTTACATAAAAATATTTATTTAATATAATAAATTTTCTAATAATAATAAAAAAATTTCATCTAAATTAAATTTAACTTCTAAAATTACAATTAAATTGTTTTAAAATATTTTTATCAAAAATTATTTATAATTTTAAATAAATAATTAAAAGACAATTACATTTCATCATTATAATTAAAATTTAATTATTACATTCATTGTTTAATTTCATATCATAAATTTACATTAATATTTAGCTTTTAATTATAAATTTAAATTAATTTTTATTAATAATAACTAAATATTTTTTCAAAATAAATTTAGAATATTGGATGACATCGGATAATTCAATTTAATATATATATATATATTGAAAGTAATTCAATATCTCAAATTTACCATATGCGTTAATAATACATATCTAAATGATATTGTTGAATTTTTTAGATATAAAAATCACAAGAGAAATTATCAATTTAAAATCTTATTTTGATTTTGTGGTACTTGTTGTAAGTTGAATATAACAACACAGTGGAAACCGAATAATGGGGAATCTTGACACAGATCAAGGATAGCTTTTTGGCCGCTTATAAATACTCCTAATTACTCCTACTTTCACTACCATCAACCAACCATAACCATTCATTTGCATCACACACATCTTTACTCTTTCCTCCTCATTTGCAACTATACCACTCCACTCCCAATAATGAATAAACCACATTCCTCCAAACAACTCTCACACTCAAACTCAAATATCACCAGTGATCCATTGGATATATGGAGTTCAATCTTGAATCAAAAGAACAAAGATGAAGCTTCACAACTCAAAACTACTCCTTATATTCACCCACTTGTCAAAAAATCAAAAAGTTATTTAAACGAAAAGAGTCTTGAAATGTGCACTGAGTGTCTTGGATCTGAAACTGGTTCAGATTGGTTCTCTTCTTCTTACACATCATCATCCGAGGATACTAATTCAGAAGATGATGGAAAAATGAAAACATGTTATAGTGATGATAATCCAAAACTCATCAACAATCATTCTTTGAAGAATAAGAAAAAGGCTTCGTGTATTCCCCCTCCACTCCCTTCACTGAGTAGTCAAAGTCAACAACTTCAAATGAGGTCGCACCGTGAGAATGGAAGATTGTTTTTGTTCCTACAAGTTGTCGTGTCAGTTCCTTCACACAACAACTTCATTGCTACGCGACAAAATGGTCGCCTTATCCTCACCTTTGCTAATCATGTTAAAGAAGGAATTGTTGAAGAAGATGAGTGTGTGATAGAACAGCCAAGTGCTCGGAGAGAATTAGTGGTGAACAAGAAAATGAAGAGTCCAAAATGGTCGGAAAAGTTGAACATAGTGACAAATTTTAAGGATGTTAAACTTGTACAACATGGTTCGTTGCCACGGTCATTGCCTTTGATCAATGCTTATCAATACTACTGGCGAACCAAGGCTATACGGGAAATGTTGATGAAGAAAATAGTAATAGCAACAAGGTTGTTGTCTCTTGGGACATGAATGTATCGTTCAGAATTTGAAGTTTTGCAAGGATTCTAGTACTACAACGTCTTTTCTGTTCTAGGATCCTTGTTGCATTGCTGTCTCAATCTTTTATATTCTCTCCTTTATGTTCCACTCATTTTCTGGTCAAATAAATGAAAATGGAAAGGAGAGAAAAATACTATGTAAGATTCCGTTAATTACTTTTTTGGGTTACATATTAAATAAATTACTTCAACACTGCCGTGCATATTATTCTGTTATATTTATTTATATGTTTATCATCTTGTTTACATTTCAACAATTTTGATGATATAAAGTCATATAAGAAAATCTCAGACAATCCAGGAAGCCAGACAAAAGTAAAGAGTCCTAAGAAAAGACCGTCCAACTAATGTGACACATATTGTCACTCAACAGACTTCAGAAGACAAACAGATGACCACAATGTCATTTCCAAAACAGAAGATCAAGAAGATGAAAACTAGTGTTGTTATTTAGGAGGGAGTAATTTCCGCTGTTGTGTTTGGGAACTAGGAAGAAAAAGGTAAGAAGGGGAAGAAAGAAAATGAAGGAAAAAAGTGGAAGAGAGAAGAGAAGGAAGGCATAAGAAAGACCTGCATGCTTTTAGTCTAGCTACTAAAAGTAATTTCAATTCAAAACCAACAACCATGATGATTAATTGAATTTGTTTATAAGTTTTTATTAATATTTCCTCCGTCCCAAATAAATGTCATATAGTATAAAAATTTGTTCTAAAATATTTATCATTTTACATTATAATATAATTTTATATTTAATCTTGTAATTGTATCTTCTAATAAATATTCTTAATTTATTATTTTTTTATTTAATATTAATGTTAATTTAAATAAACCAATAGTTAGTCAGAATAATTTGATAAAATTATTATTATCTTTCTTTCATTTATTGTTGTTTTTTAATCTGCGTGAAATGATAAAATGCGATAAATAATATAAAAACGGATGAAATATATTGTTTTGATGTGGCATAACACTTAAAACTGACGCTGAGGATATTGTCCCTATTTATGTTGGTGCAAGGTAATGAAGTGAGAGAAGAAGAATGAACAAGAATGATAACAAGAAGACTATTGTTGTATAAAATAGAGGAGATAAAGTAGGGATACAATATTGATAGCCTAGTATAGCATATTTATACTAGATATTGAAAATGCCAAAAGGCCCTATTGAAAGATAAGCATTGGAAATTGTAGAAATTAACTAAATCATCTTTTCAATACCATCCCTTAATTTAGGTTTTCTATCAGAAGCTAACAACACAAATTTCATCTCTCAAGTGAAGAAATTGATCTATCTTAACTGCCTTCGTCAGAAGATCTGCTAGCTGTTTCTGAGTGCTGCAGTGCAGAACTTCTAACACTCCTTTCTGCACTTGACTTCTGAGAAAATGATACTTCGTCTCAATGTGCTTGCTTCTTCCATGTAGCACTGGATTCTTGGCAAGATAAATTGTAGACTTATTATCAATCATCAGCTTCAGAGGTTCCTTAACTTCAACCTTCAGATCATGCAAGAGATTCAGAAGCCAAACAACTTGACAAGCAGCTACAACATCTGCGATATACTCAGCTTCACACGTTGATAGAGCCACGACATGCTATTTCTTGAAACTCCAGGAAATGAGACCTCCTAGAAATTTAAACAAGTATCCAGAAGTACTTCTCATGTCCACTCTGTCTCCACACCAGTCAGAATCAGAATAACTTACTAATTTTGGTTTTGTCTTTCTTTCAGAAGGAAACAACACTCCATATTTCAGAGTTCCTTTGATATATCTCAGAATTCTGACAGCAACTTGAAAATGAGACCATTTTGGATTACTCATGAATCTACTAACCAATCCAACTGCATAACAAATGTCATGTCTAGTATTGCATAAATACCTTAGAGAACTAACCAACTGTTTGAAGGCTGTAGTATCAACAGAATCACCATCAGAGTCAGAATCCAATTCTTGATTGGTTTCTGATGGTGTCACAGCAACTTTACAATTCTGCAACTTAAATCTCTTCAAAAGTTCTAGTTCGTATTTTAACTGATGCAGAATGATACCCTTCTTCGAGTACATAATCTCTGTCCCTAGGAAATATGTCATATTTCCTAGATTTGTCATCTCGAACTCATTCATCAGAACTTCTTTGAACTTCTTTATATCTTCTGGGAAGCTTCCTATTAGCAAAATGCCATCAACATAGAGACGCACCAAAATCATATTGTTATCAGAGTGTTGCACATAAACGCCATATTCCATCTCACATTTCTGAAACTTCTGCTTCTTGAAAAATGAATCAATTTTCAGGTTCCAAGCTCTGGTTGTTTGCTTCAGTCCATACAGAGCTTTATTTAACTTGTATACCATCCCTTCCTGATTCTTTTTCACAAATCCAGGAGGTTGTGACACGTAAACTTCTTCCTGTAATGGACCATTCAGAAATGCAGACTTCACATCCAGATGCATCAAAAGCCAATTTCTATTTGCAACTAAAGCAATCACCCGTCTAATTATTTCATGCCTAGCTACAGGCACAAACACCTCAAAGTAATCTAGCCCATGTTTCTGAAGAAAACCTCTAGCTACTAGTCTAGCTTTGTGCTTGCCAATTGAACCATTTGGCTTAAGCTTCAACTTAAAAACCCATCTGACACTGATGGCTTTTTTCTTATCTGGAAGCTTAGTTAATTTCCACGTTTTGTTCCTTTCTATTGCCTCAGGTTCTTCTTACATGGCATTCAACCATTCTTTCTTCTTGAGAGCTTATTCAATGCCCACTAGTTCAGAATTTACTAACATGGCACACTGAACGACTTCTCCTTCAGAGTCAACTTCATTATCCTGCAACATGTTGAAATCTGGAAACCTTCTTTTTTTTTTCTTCTGATTCTCTTTGGTCTTTGAGCTTGTTCTGAACCTGCACCAGAACTACTACCTTCAGAGTTATCACCTTCAGAGTTTTTCCTTCCAGAACTATGGTCACCACCAGATTCTGGATCATCATCAACATCTGGATCAGAATAAGATCCATTTTCAGAATCTCCTTCTGACTCATCTTCAGAATCTTCAGAATCAGATTCATCTTCTGAACTTTCTAAAACATCTTCAGAGGCTAACTCTGGTGTTGGCACTACACCAGAATCTGATTGAGACTTGTTCCAATACCATGCTTCAGACTCTTTCACCACAATGTCTCTGCTGACTTCAACTTTATTAGTTTCTGTACAATAAAGCTTATACGCACCTGTATTGTGATACCCCAATAGCAACATTACTTTGCTTATATTATCCAGTTTCTGTCTTCTAGCTTCTAGAACGTGTTTGTAACAAACAGAGCCAAACACCTTCAGATGAGTGACACTCTGTTTATCCCCAATCCATTTTTCTAAAGGAACAACTTCCTCCAGCTTCTTCGTTGGACACTTGTTCAGAATATATGCTGATGTGGCAACAGCTTCTCCCCATAACACGTGAGGTAGCTTTTTTTTCTTTCAGTATGCTTCTGGTCATATCAAGAAAAGTTATGTTTCTTCTTTCAATAAGACCGTTGTGCTGAGGAGTATATGGAGCAGTAACCTCATGTTCTATTCCGTTCTCCTTACAAAACTTCTGGAACTCTGTAGAGTTATACTCACCTCCACCATCCATTCTCAGAATCTTCAACTTCTGACCACTCTGCTTCTCAACCTTCACTTTAAACTTCTAGAAGTCAGTAAACACTTCATGCTTGAACTTGATGAGTGTTACCCATGTCATTATTTTGAACTTATCCACAAAAGACACAAAATATTTGTTTCCTTCAAGTGAAGGTACTTGAAATGGTCCACACACATCAGAATGTACTACTCTCAGAGCATGCTTCGCTCTGGGGGCTACTTCTGATGTAAATGGAAATATGGGTTGCTTGCCTTTCATGAATATCTCACATGACTTCTTAGGCTTCACAATCTTCGAAATACCATGTACAAGCTTCTTAGAACATAGATGCCATAGGCTTCTATAGTTCAAATGCCCCAATCTCTTATGCCACAGCTTACTGTCACTTTCAGCGTCTTCTGCACTAAGACACGTTGCTTCAGCTGTTTCTACATTCACCTTGAATGTTTTGTTGCTTCCTTGTTCAAACTTTATAATCAACTTCTGATTGGAATCATATAACGTCAAGAGATAGGTTTTCATAACAACTGAGAAACCTTTCTCAATCAGCTGACCCATACTCATTAGATTGCTTCTAATACCAGGAACATACCAAACGTCTTTGATCAGAATGTCTTTCCCATTCTTCACTCTAACTCTGACATCTCTTATACCTTCTGCATTAAGATACTTATCATCAGCACATCTGATCTTTATTCTCCTTCTGGAGTCAAAGTATTTCAGCCATTGTTTGTTTCCAGTTAGGTGATTTGAATAGCCAGTGTCCATATACCACCAATCTTTTGAGTATTTTTCATCAGAATAAGAAGCTATTAGTAGCACAGGTTCATCATCAGAGTTTCCCTTAGCCATATACACTTCTTCTGATTTCCTTTCCTTGTTTGACCTACAATCTCTGGCAAAATGGCCAAATTGTTTACAAGAGTAACATTAAACCTTCCTTTTGTCATACCTCTCCTTTCATTTATGATATCTCTTATCATCAGAAGTTGAGGTTTTTGACTTTTGGAATCTATCACCATGTTTATTCTGCTTCTGGTCTTTCTTGACAAAAGAAGCCTTTAGAGCTTGCTCAGCTTTCCTCTCAGAAGTTCTCTCAGACAGACGTAACTCATGTGCTTCTAAACTGCTTTACAATTCTTCTATTCTCATGGTTTCCATATCTTTAGAATGTTCAATAGAAACAACAATGTAATCAAACTGAGGAGTAAGTAACCTTAGAATCATCTCTATGATTACCTGTTCAGGCAGAGTTTCTCCACACGCCTTCATCTCGTTAGTGACCAGGATCACTCTAGAGACATATTCCGAAATTTTCTCATTGT